TTCCACCCCGCGACCAACGGCCAAGCGGAGCGAATGGTGCGGACTACGAAGGAAGCGTTGAGCTGTCTGACGGAGGGAGATTGGGAGTGGAGAATCACGCAGTTCCTCCTGGTGCAGCGCACCACGCCCAACCCAGTGAGCGGCCGATGCCCAGCCGAGCTCCTCATGGGACGAAGACCGCGGACCCTACTGGACCGCCTACACCCGGATCGGGCTCCTGAATTGCGGAACACGCCGGAGCAGCGGGAGGCGCCTCGCGAATTTTCCCGGAGGACCCGGTCTTTGCCCGGAACTTCGGCAGGGGGCCGGAATGGCTAGCGGGCCGCATCACTCATCCCCTAGGATCGATAATGTACGAGGTGTCCACCGAGTGCGGCCAAGTACTGCGGAGGCACATAGATCCGCTCCGGCGGTGCATGCTCCCAGAACACGCGGGCACCGAAAGCCCGGAACCACAGCCGGCGCTCGAGGAGAGCGCCCCTCCACCCCTAGCGCCGATCTCCACCCAGGGAGAGCAGCCGATCCCGACTCCTGGCCCACCGACGATCGCGGACGAGGGCCCGGCCACCGGAATCGCCGAGCCAGCGGAGCCGCCACAGGTTAAACCCCCCAACGCAGAAGGTGAGACCCCCGCGGGCACAGCGCCAACCCCCCGACGATCCACCAGAGAACGACGGTCCCCGTCTTATTTGAAGGACTATGTCACCTAGGATGGGTCGGAACTATGGGGAGAGGGATGTTGTGTATGCTGACCGCCACCGGGGGGCCAGGGGTCAGCCAGAGCTGCCAGAGCTTGACTCTGGAACAACAATAGGGACTAGGCTCCTAGTCCCTCCACTGGGGAGCCAATGGGATCCGTGGCGGGAGATTCAAACCCACCAATGGTGGCCAGGGGTGTGTCCCCAGGGATGTATATAGTTGGCCCCCGGGCCGTTTGTCCCCTGTTCTTGTTGTGTGCCTAATAAAGCGTGCTATGCACTACGTCGTCGTCTATCGTTTATCCATGCGGCAACCCACTACACAATAGTGGGGCAGAGAGGGGCTTGGCGGTGGATCCTGCCCGAAGTCTTCCAGGCGTCCTTAACCGACCATGTGAGGGGCCGGAACGGGTGAAGGAGGCGAGGGCAGGCGGCTGTCAGGGGAGGGCAGGACAGGTGCAGACGAGGGGCCTGCGGAGCGCTGCGGATAGGCAGGGACGCGGGGCGGCGGCTTCTGCTCAAACCCGCCCTGCCTCCTCATCCCCAGGGGGGGGCTCTCTTGCTCGGGAGGACCCACAAGAGTGCATGGCCCATGCCGGGGCAGGGGGGGCAGTCGTCCTGCGGCCAGCAGGGGGTGCAGCAAAGCCGAGCGCAGCACAGGCCGGCGGCCGGCAGGAGGAAGGGCGCGGCTGCTGCAACCTCCACCGGCCTGCGGAAGAGGCTCCTGGGGCGGCCAGCTCCAGGCTGGGGAGGTCCCTGGAGATTGGGGTGGGGGTGGGCGGGGGCTGGGGAGGGGAGGGACCTTAGCAGGCCACCCTGCCGGGGAGGTCCACTCTCCACGGCAGCAGTTTCCTCCAGGGGGACGCATCTCTGGAGGTCAGTGGTCATTCCGGGAGACCTCCAGGCTCCACCAGGAGGCTGGCAACCCCAGTGGCGGCTCCTCCTCCTCCTCCACTGGCGCTCACAGGACCTGGCCGGCCAAAGGGAGCTCTCGCCCAGAGGTCACCGGCCGAGCCCCCAAGGCCTGGCCCACGCTCCCGTCTGTAGGAAAAGGCCCGCAGGAAAAGGCCTGCTGCGAATGGCCTCGGGAGAGAGAGGAGGGCCGAGAGGCCTGCTGCGTTCGGGAGGGGCCAGCCGGACACCCCTGCGTGAAGGCTGGGGGGGGGCTGCTGTGTGACCTTGGAGAAGGCGGGACCCACTTTTATCCTTCGGGTTCACAGCAGGCCGAGCAGGGCGCCCCCCCCGCCCTCACAGCAAAACCCCCCCCCCACCAGACCAGGCCGAACAGCACAGGCCTCCTTCCTTCCTTCCTTCCTTCCTTCCTTCCTTCTCCCCGCTGGACTGGCAGGACTGGGCCCTTGAGAGCAACGCTGACCACCCGGATTGCCCCCAAAGAGGAGAACAACGCTCCCAATCGGGTTCCGCTCCTGCTCTGGGAGGAGAAAGGGGGTGGTGGTGGTGGGGACACGGACGCGCTCGGGGTGATGCTCCCGAGGGGGGCAGCAGGCACAGGGAGCGGGGGGCCACCGCAAAAGCTGTGTTTGGCTGACGGCTGTAGGGTTTTGAGATGTGGAGGGCAGAAAGCCGAGCACCTGGCACTTCTCAGAAGCCTCTTTTCTTGCTCTGCCCACAAGAACCTCAGAAGGGCCCTGCTGGGCCAGACCAGGGAGGGTCCCTCCAGCCCAGCCTCCCATCTCACACAGGGGCCAGCCACTTCCTCCTCTGGAGGGCCAGCAACAGGGCAGGGAGGCCGAGGAGGCCTTCCCCTGATGCTGCCCCCTCCCTGGCTCTGGGATTCAGGGGATGAGTGCCTCGGGATGTGGAGGTTCCCCCCAGTAGCCACTGATAGACTTATCCTCCCTGAATCTCTCTAATCTCCTTTGAAAGCTGCTTATTCCCGTGGCCATCACCACAACCTCTGGCAGCAACTCCCACCTTTTAATCACTCTCTGCTGAGAGAAGTATTTCCTCTTGGGCATGGTGAATCTGCTGCCTGTCCGCTTCATTGGATGCCCTCAGTGAGTTCTAGTATCTTGGGAGAGGGAGAAAAAGTCCTCTTTGGCCACGCTTTCCACCCCGGGCATTATGTTATAAAACCCGCTATCGTGTCCTCCCTTCATTGTCTCTTTTCTAAAGTTAAAAGCTCTCCGGCCTTTCTTCCCGGGGAAGGTGCTCCCACCCCCTAACCGCCTTGGGGGCCCGTCTCCTGCACCCTCCGGCCAACCGCCTCACCGCCCCTGGGAACCCGGGAACCTCCCTTTCCTTGCAAAGATGACCCGCCAATGGGAAGCCGCAGCCACCTGGCGTGGGTGAGCTCATCGTGTCCCAGGGGCCCTCTTGTTTTCTTCCGGCCCAGCGGCCCTGCAGAGTCCTCGGCTGCCCTCTCGGCCCTGAGGGGAGCAGCTGTTGGGCCCGGCCCTGGCGCCATGCCCAGTGTGTGAGCCGCTCTGAGGTCATGCCCGGTCGCCGGTGTGCCCTGTTGGGGGGGGGGCACAGGGCCAAGCAGCGTGCTCGGGGGGGGGGCTGCTGACGAGGGCGGGCAGGTGCTTATTTGTAAATAGAGTGTGGCTGGGAGAGGGCCGTGCCCTCTGCCTTAGAAACGCTGCCCACGGAAAGCCCGAGAAGGGGGGGGGCTGTGCATGTCGGAGCGGGGGGGGGGCTATCAGAGGATGGGTCAGAGGCACCCTCTCGGTTCTGATGAGCCTTTGATCCAGTTTGGCCCTGGGGGGAGGTTTCCCACGGGGTGGGGTGGGGTGAGGCGCGTCCCTCGACGGGCCACAGCTGCCCACCTGCATATGCAGGAGAGAGCGGGGTGGATGCAGGGGGGCCGTTGTGTTCTTTGCCCAGAAGAGAAGAGAGCCAGCTGCACTACGGCAGAACGGGTGCGATGCCCACCGTAGCAGCCGGGCTGTGGCATTCGGCACCCACAGGAGTTTCTACCCTGGCTTCAAGGGCAAGCCGGCGTCAGAGCTGGCTTGGGAAGCCACGGGGAGGGGGTGGTCCTCTCCCCCGGGAGACTGATGCACTCAGATGGGGCTGGCGGGAGTCCTGCCAGGCACCGCTAAGGGCTCTGGAGGAGGCCTCGCCTCGCGGCCCATCTGGTTGCGGTTGGCTGGTCTCTGCCCAGGCACCAGAACTGGGGAACTGTCTCCCTGCTGGCTTTGAGGGAGGGCGTTGGCCACGGGACGCGCGCGGGGGAAACCGGTTTTGTTGTTGTTGTTGTTTTTCTTGCTGCAGCCCAGGCCGAGGGCCTGTGAGCCCCATGAAGCAGCCTTCTCCTGCCCCCGAGTCTCCTTGCCTGCCCTGCCCACCAGCCGTGGGACTCCCTTGTCCCGGGAGAGGCCGAGGATGGAACCTGGGACCTCCTGCATGCCAAGCAGAGTCTTCTTGACCCCTGTGCCACAGTCCTCTGCAGAGTGGCTGAAGAAGGCGGCCACGTTTTGCCAGGTCCAGAGCCACCTTCCTGGCTGGCAGTGGCAGCAGCTGCCAGGGCGGGGCTGCCTCCCAGCAATGCCCCCCTCCTTTCCCCAGGGCATTGGCCAGGGAAGGACTGACACCGGGCCCCCATCTGGCTGGTGGGGTGGGAGGTGGGAGGCGGGAGGGTCACAGATGCAGAGAGGCAGACAGTCCAGTCCAGGGACAAAGTGCTGCAACGTGGACTGAGGTGCCCACGGACAATCATAAGAACACAAGAAGCTCCTAGTCTAAGAGTCCATAGGCTAAGAGCCACAGGCCAAGAGCCCTTTGACTCTTGACCTTCTGGCTCGTGCCTCTTGCGAGCTGCAGCCTTACATAGAAGCCTCGCCCAGCAGAGGGCAGGGCCAGCAGCTATTCAAATTACACCCAGGCAATACAATTACAGTCAAACAATCACCCGTTCTCACCCTTTCTCAAGCAGCCAGGACTCTGCAACAACAACACCCACACTCTCCCAAACACAGTCCTCCCACTCAGTGCCCTCAGCTAAATCACCTCAGCTGAAAGCAAATAAAAACCACTCACCCCTCTAGCAGCACTGTCTCCTGCTGCTTCTCAGAGCAGATGGAGCACACCCTGGGGGCCAGTCTGGATTACGGACTTTGGAACCAACCAGCTCTCAGGCCCATTAGCAAAAACTGCAGAGAGCAGATAACAATTTCTACCCATCCCAATCAATCTTTGAAAAATTATTTATTTCATTTATAGCCTGCTTTTCTCACTGAGACTCAAGAAGGATTACAAAATGTAAAAATCGATGCAAACAAGCAGTGTGGACTTCTAATAAGCGATGCAGCAGGATGTGACAGGTCGGGGTGAAGAGGCAGATCTGAGAAGGGAATCTGAGCCGCTGCATGTGTGTGTGTGTGGGCACATGTGATCCCCCCCCCGCTTGCGGCTACTCTCCGTAAAGCCAGTCGACCAGGGCCGTGGGGAGGTGAGCCGTGGCCTGCAGCCGCACCCACCACCGGGCGTCCATGGGGTTGTAGCGGGCGTAGGGGTGCCGGGAGGTCAAGGCGCTGGTGATGTCCTCGAGGACGGGCGACATGTCCTGCAGGCCGCTGTGCACGAAGGCCCTCATCCGGCGGGCCTGCTGCAGGAAGTAGGTCTCGCCGTAGTCGGCCCGGACCGTCTCGCCGGCCTGCTGCCACATCTCCTCTGCCTGGGCCTCGACGCCCTCCTCGGTCAGGATGCCCGTGGCAGCAATGAAGTTGCCCGGCTCGATGGCGACGACGGCCACGCCCCAGTGGTACATCTCCTGCCTCAGGCAGTCGGTGAAGGCCTCCAGCCCAAACTTGGAGATGCAGTAAGAGGAGCGCAGGGGACTGGCCATGCGTCCCAGCATGCTGCTCATGTTGACGACCCGGCCTGGAACGGCACAGACAGACCCAACGCCACCCCTGGCAGCTTTAGGAGCACACAGCCACAACAACACCGGCCTTGGCCACGCGTGTGAAGGCACACCTGCGGAACCTCTACAAGGACCGGGTCGCCTCGGGGCCCCACCCTGCCTGGGAGCCTTTCTCCCCACCCAAGACACACGGGGGGACTGCTTGTGGGTTCTCAGCAAGGGGAGTTGAGCACTCTGCACATGCTCCAGGCTCCCTCCTCTGTGGCGCCAGAGATTTCACAGGCCAGAGCCTTGGCTCAGAAAGCAGGCTGGGAAGGATCTCCGGCTGGGATGGTGTCAATGGTGTGGCGCCCGGGGAAGCCCTTCCTCTAGCTCAGGGGTCCCCAGCCTCTTTGAGCCTGTGGGTGCCTTTGGGATTCTCACCCAGCAGCCCCTCCTCTGTCCACGCCTTTGTCTCACTTGGGAACTGAGCCCCTACAGGGAACTCGCGGGTGCTGTTTGACTGCAAGTCCCCGTGGTGATCCCGTCCAGCTTGGAACTTAAAGAGTTCCCCTCTGGCCAGTCTCCACCCTCCAAACTCCCACGTGTTCCCTGAATTACAGAGACCAGCAAATCTATACACTCTGCCTGATCTGGCCTGAGCAGCACAGGAGGAGGCAATTCTCCTGCCTCGGGACCTGCGTTTGGGGAGAGGGACCCACAGTCCTGGCTATGCTCACCCCTGCCGTGAGGAGGAGACCTGGGCAGGCAAGTCGCTTGCTTCTCCTCCACCCTGCCTGCGTGGAAGGAGCCGAGGGGCCCCTTGGGTCCAGACAATCCCCACCCCCCCACCCCGGTGTACCTCTAGCTCGGCGGATCAAGGGCAGAAACGCTTTCGTCACACGGACGGTCCCCCACAAGTTGATGTCAGCCACAGCCTGGTATTTCTCGAGACTGGTGAGTTCCACGTCCCCAAAGGAGGCGATGCCGGCATTATTCACCAAGCCCCACAGACCTGCCGAGCAACCCAGAACAAACAGCCCCGGGGGGATTCATTGCAAGGGGGGGCTGGGGCTCCTTGCCTCCCCCCCCATCGACTGAGGCCCGCCAGGCCTCCGGAACAGCAAAAATCCCCCCCCCGGGTGGCGGCGGCGGCGGCCCCAACTGTGCTAGCCCTGCTGAAACTGACGGGCCTTGCAGGGGATCGTGTCCATGGGAGGATGGATCGAGACACAGGCAGAGGGCAGGGAGGGGGGCGAGGAATATTGTATCCAGCCAATCTAGAACGTTCCGTGGAAACATCCTGCGGGGGAGTCCAAAAGGCCTGTGAACAGCACAGCCGGCAAACCCATTTCTCATCTCTGTGGTTTCATACATCCCCTCCCCCACAGAGCACACCCTGGCCCGGGGTGTCCCCCCTCCCCCCTAAGATCCCCCGTGGCCGGGCGTGTGCCTCCTCTGGCCCGCAGGCCCTGTTCCGCCCTGCCCTCCTATAGGGGTTTCTCCCCGCCTGCAGAGGCTTCTCCTCCACTCCTGGGTAGCTCACCACCACCACCACCACGTGACCTTTGTGTGGAACTGACTGCTGGGAGGGTCAGGAGGACTCCCAGCTCCCCTTCCAAGTTCTGAGCCCTTGTCTCCTGCTGCCCAGCACCCGGTCACCACAGGGACCGTTTACTGCCTTGCACGCCCCTGGAGGAATGGCCGCTTGCCAGCTGCCCACCTTCCCCTGGCGCCCCTTTTAAAACAGTGTGTCTGAGATGGTGGAGGTCTAGGGGGTACAGAGAACCACTCCCAGCATCCAAAGTTATAAAGTATTTATTAACAAGAAAATGTTTACAAGCATGCTTTTAGCACAGCAACCGGCTGAGCAAGGGATATGAAACACATATCCTCTGTCCCTCTCTCTAGACACGTGTTATCAGATGTTAAAATACAGGACAGGCTCTAACTGTAAGAAGTTACAGATCTCTCTACAGAGCTGCCATTACATTGAAGCTTCCCCTTCAGCTCTCCAGGCAAGCACATGGTCAATGGCTGCCTTCCCCAGGGAGAGGTCTGTGTGTGCTCAGGGACTCAGCACCCAAGAAAAAGAAATCCCCTTCCTGCTGTAAGGAGTTTTTAATCATCTCTGTTTCTCTACCCACTGAGCAGGTCATACCAGGCCAAAGAGGGCATTTCCTGGAGATCTCCAGGGCATTTCCTTCCTACAGTCCCTCTGGCATTTCATTCCTCCAAACCTCTGTTCCCTGCTAGGAGGAAGGAGGAGATCTTGACCCACCCCCATTATCTCTCCTGCTAGAGCTATGAGCATTTGTATGAGGGTGAGCTGGGGTACGTCTGGGAAGCAATTGAACAACTGGACTGACCCCCCCCCCACACACACACCCCTGTTCTCTGCCCCAAGAAAAAAAACTAAAACGCAAAGTGGAGGTTTAGCTCATTTCAAGCCTCCCGGGACAAAATGCCTTTCTTCACATACACCAACCCGATTGATGCCACAGATATTTGGGGAGGGGGTCTTTTGCCTGGCGCTCCTTGCAGCTGGGCCCACACCCACCACTGGAGTCCTCGCCATAACTCCGCCCTGAAGAGTGCGGGACCCTAGGGCAGCCCGGAGCAGTTCGGCAACCAGTTCCGGGGCAGAGCAAGGGGATTCCTCACAGAGCGGCTCTGGCTGGAGAGGGTGCTGCTCTGTGTCCCCTGCCAGCCAGACGCCACGGGCAAAAGAGGCAGGGACGCTCCCCGGCACCACGGTCCGGGCCAGTGGGCCCCGTCCAGCCTGAGCCCCAGGAGGGAGGGCTCCTTGCTGCGCCCGCAGGGGTGAAAGGGCGGGCCCCTCCCCCCTGTCTCTTACCTCCCCTCCCACACCACAGCCTCCATGCCACTCCGTCGCTCAGCCACCCACCAGGCAGGCCGGCACCAGAGTCTCTCTGGGTGAGCCGGCCCTAGACAGAGGGGCTGCACCCGGGCCCCCACGCAAGGGCCACGGAGCAGGCTGCAGGGGGAACACGGCACTTACCCTGATCTGGCCCCTTCAGGTTCTTCCGCACCAGTCCGAGAGCGCGCGCCACCTCCTCATCACTGCACACGTTGAGCTGCAGGACTCTCATGCGCTCCGGCCCCAGGCGCTCGAGCTCCCTGGCCCCATCGCCGCCTCTGTCCTGTCGGGCACACGCAGGGAGAGAAGACGCTGCCCAGACCCTGCCAAGGAGGCCATCCACGTCCCCTGAGCTGGCCCTTTCGGGGGGGGGGCAGAGGGAACCGGCTCCACGGGAGGCCAGATGTCCACTTCCACCTACGATGGCCTGAAAAGGGTGGCTGCACCCCCCCCCCCCAGAATGGGCAAAGAACACCCTCCGGAGGAGGAGGAGGGGGAAAGACTGAAGCCCCCGCTCCCTCACGCTCTGGACCCCATCCACACCAGGGCCCGCTGGCCGGGGAAACAAGCTCCCTCGCCCCTGACCGCCTCAGGCACAGCCCGGGCGGAGGAACCAAGACCCTCCACGCTAGAAAGACGGGCGTGGATTTTGTTCACTCACTTCCCCCATTTCTACCCCGCCTTCCTCCCTAACAGGGACCCAAAGCGGCCTCCATCCTCCTCCTCTCCTCCATCTCATCTGCACAACAACCCTGTGAGGTAGGCTAGGCTGAGAGGGTGTGGCCGCCCCAAGGCCCCCTGGTAAGCTTCCCTGGCTGTGCAGGGATCTGACCCTGGCTCTTCCAGATCCTACTTCCCCCCTCTAACCGCTGTCCTCCTCTGTTTGCCCCACGGCCAAGGGCCGAGGCACACAAAGAGGGGCTAATCCGGAGCCCCAGGGAACAATCCCGGGACCTTGGGGCTGCAGGACGGAGACGGAGGCTACCTGGGATGTTTCCCGCTCCTGGCGGGAAGGCCAAGGCCTTGCGGTCACGTGGAACATCCGCCCGCCTCGCTCTCTCCTCGGGGCCCCCTATTCTCCCCAAGAGCATTGCAGGGGATGCGACAGCAAACTGCAGCATCCGTGACAGAGCCAGACAAAAGTGGCAGATCCCCGGAGCCTGCCTCGGCCTGGAAGCACTCTGCCCCTGACACTCGGCCCAAGAGGCCTCGCCTGACCTGCCGGGGCCCACCCAGGCGCCCTCTGCTCCTGCCCAGCTCCTCAGCCGGGGTGTCCTTCTGCGTCCTCCCGCCCCCCCCCCAGAAGAGAAGGGAGTTCTCTGAGCGGCTCCCAATTCACAGCCAGTTGGGGAAGGGACACGGAGGAGGGCCGGGGGCCACTGGCCACATCTGCAGCAGAGTCCCTGGCGGGAACAGGGCTGGGGAGGGGGCCCGGAGCCCGAGGGCCTCTCAAGGAGCAGCAGGGGCCTGGGCCCCACACTCTCCTCCTCACGGCCCCCTCTCAGACTGGGACCGGAGGCCTTCCGCAGGAGCCGGCCATTGGCCCATCCGGCTCGGCCTCGGCAGCGGCGCTCTGGGCAGAGAAGGACCCTCCACAACCTCCAGATACGGGAGACCTCCGAGGAGACGGAGCTGGAGCTCTCTGACTCAGGCACACACCCGGCCCTTCTCCCCCCCGCCCGCCCTTCCTCCCAAGCGCTCGGAGCAGCACCCACGCGCCTGCCTCCCCCTCCAGGGTCCTCTCCCCAGGCCCTGTGCAGACTGGGCCTCTCCTGCTGTGGCCCCCTCTGACTTGCACCCTCCCCCTCTCTCCTCCAGGGCACAGCGGGGGCTCCATCAGACCAGACTGTTTCGGGGGTGGGGGGTGGTGGTTTGTTGTTGCGCAGGGGCCAGCCTCCTCCCTCCGGCCGATATCGTGAGAGCAGGTCAGAACGGACACGGCTGCAAAAGAGGGGCCTCTCCTCGCGGCGCACGCTCGAAGGCGGTGCCGGGGAGCCCGAGGCGGCAAAGTTCCCTGGCCCCAAAGGGGGGGGATGAGGAGGAGTTCGCCCCAAGACATCCCCTGGCCAGGGGTTATGCAGGCAGACCGCCACCAGGGGTCTGGCGGCTAAGGCAGGCTCTTGGTCCCCAAACACAGAGGGGACCCAGGATCCTCGTCCACCTCGAGTCCACCAAGAGCACCCTCGGCGGGAGACTCAAACCCTCCAGTGGGGACGGAGGTGTGCCGGGGGGGTGCATAGAGTTGGCCTTGCAGGGCCGTTTTCCCTTGTCTTGATGTGAAGTGCAATCAACGCGTCTGAACGCATGTCGTAGTCCTCCATGCGGTGAACCCAGTACTTTTCACCAGGCAAGAGAGGAGGGCCTGCTCTGAGCAGCCCCCCTCCCCCGTGGCCTCTCCCCCCCCCCGGGGCCCCCCCCCCCCCCCGCCGCCACAGCTGCCTGACAAAGAGGGCAGGGAGGGGCTCCCGGAGACCTCCCCTCTCATTCCAAGCGGAGCAGGCCAGACGCTTTTCATGGCCACGCGAGAGTCTCTTCCCAGCCACATTACGACCACTCTGGTCAAACAGGCTGCGAGAGCCACTCTTGTTGCTGCTGGTCCTGGAGGTGTCTGGTCCTCTCTTGGGCATGGAGCAGGGGGTCACTGTGGGTGGGTGTGTAGAGGGGGAGGTATTTGTGGATTTCCTGCACTGAGCAGGGGGTTGGACTAGATGGCCCGGGAGGTGCCTTCCCACTCCGTGGTCCTCTGAGAGCTGGTTCACTGTCCAGG